GGCATTATTCATCGAATGTCTCTTGCAATAACACAGTGATACGTAACAATCCTAACAAATAAACATCTTTACAAGGAAATTCATCAATAAAGTGATAAGAAGAAGTGGAGAGAAACAGAATAATGGTTTTAAAAAATCACGTGGAGAAAATGGGAAGAAATAGAATGAATGAAAAAACACACATAGAAGTTATAGAAACTGTCAGGTCTGTAAAGCTGATAAATAAATGAACGGAATCAGTCAACTATTGGTGAGAAAAAAAAACCCAACTGAATTTAGCATAACTGATTTGGCAGTTAGTGACAGAAGAAAAATACCAAACCCAATTATTGATTGTTGGGATAACTTGTTCTATGGGGGGGGGGGGCGATTTTCTCTACAATAAATCGTTTTAAAAGCTGTACATTAGTATTCACATCTAAAATAGTTCATAAACTTTGGGGATTACTTCACAACATATTGCAGCCTGAATTGACGTACTTCTGTGCTGTTGTACGCTTTTAAATCAGCCTCTAGGCCAATACAAGACCATTAAATGTATAAATAAAAGGATGGCTGCCTTAAAATATTGAACCTACAGAAGTGCAAACTATTTTAGTTTATGTCCTCAAGCTTCTCCAACAGTTGGTTCTTAGTATCCCGGGGAGCCCAACCACGCAGTCTGCGCCTAACTGTGTAGCTGAGCCTCATAATCATAGAATCCATGGATTGGTGCCATGTCTGTTTCAAGCACAGGTCAGACTTCCTCAAAATAATCCTTTAGCTAACACTGCTCCTTAACAGAAGCAATGGTTTAGCAAGCGTATCGCATGATATGTTACTACAACTATCGCAAGTAATTGGACAAAGGCACGTCCGGTCAAAAACTTCCATATATCTCGCAGCTTCAGTGGCTATGTCTCATGGCTGTAAAGTGGGATAGAAAGAACTACTGTAAAACGCATACCTTTTTGTGAGTGGTACGGTTTCATACTTGCACCAAAGATTACAAAAGTCCGCAAATCCAGCACAAGATATTTGTCCCTTTTCGTCAGCTGTCGCTTCACAAATAAATGGAGTAGTCAACAAACTCCACCACTTCACCCCGTATGCCTAGATCACAAGCTGATGTGGACCAACTTTGCTTTATTATCGTGTATTCAATAGTGTGCATAAAATATTTAGATTTTGGTCAGGTGTGTTCATGAGAACCAGTATTTTGTAACCATCACCACCTTAAAGAGGCACACTGCTTGTGTAACTGAAATCAATTAGATACTCTCTTTGTTGCAAATTGGCTTCTGAGACGTCCCCAGTCACATCTATCAGCACAACTTCGGTGAAATCAAATCAGGATTGTGACACTGAGAATCCTTGATGGCTGGATTCTACATAGAACTTGGCACCGAAGTGCAGCAGTTCGAGTTGCAACGTTCCAAATAGCACACAAAGGTACACAAGAAAGTGAGTGAAGAGAATCAATAGGGTTTTGGCAAGTATAAGAGTGAAACAGAATCAGTAATGGTAGAAAGGAATATGAAAGATTACAGAGACTGAATACATCTGCGTAAGCCATTGACAACGATTTTGAGCCATGTCACCTATTGTCTCCAGCCATTGATTCCTAGAGTCCCGAGGGCCCCAACTCGGAAGTCTGCATCTCCCTACCTGACTCAGTCTAACTGTCAGGGATTTCATGGATTGATGCCATGTTTTTGTTTGGCCACCACTTACTCTTTTCCAACCTGCACCTATATCAGCTAGTAATGCCCGTCGGGGGAGGCGATGGTTAGGCGTGCGCACCACGTGACCTAGCCATCTCAATCTATGTAACTTTATCGCCTATTCGATTGATTTTCCCTCTTTGCCCAACACTCTACGCCTAACGTCAACATTACTTACCTTATTATACCACCTAACGTGAGAAAGAGATAGTAGACATCTATGATCAAAAACAGTCAAACTTTTCATGTCTTCAACTCGTAGGACGGAGCGAACTGCTGAGCAGTACACACGTCCCTTGGTTGATAGCCGGATGTCACACCTACGCCAGAGATGGTGTAAGTTAGCGAAAGCAGCCCGAGCTTTCTGGATCCGTGCTGAGATTTCGTCACCAATCAATCCGTTGGTGCTGATACAACTTCCCAAATAGGTGAAGTGGTCAACATGTTCCATCACTTCACTCCCTATCACTAAGCTAGGAGTTGACGTAGTCCAGTCCTGTAGCAGCATCTTACATTTTACAGGGGCGAATCGCATGCCAAACATACGAAGATTGCTGCTCAAGGTGTTCAGAAGACTGCATTTTGTCGGCATCCTCCCCTAACAGGACTATGTCATCTGCGTATTCTAAGTCTATAAGACTATTCCCTGGTAACAAGTCGATTCCTAAGTCGTTAAGTTCAGTTAAGGATACTTCCATTAGCATATCTATGATGAAGTTAAACAGGAATGGGGAAAGTGGACATTCCTGACGGACACCACTGGTTGTTATCAATTCAGATGTCTATTCCCCATAAGCCCTTACATGGCTACGTGAGTTTGAGTAGAGTGCCTTGATTGGTGCAATGTACTTTCTTGGCACTCCCTTCACAGTCAAACATTGCCATAGTACCTTTCGATCCACGAAGTCGAAGGCCGCCTTCAAGTCAAGAAATATGGCAATTGTTGGACGCCTAAAAGTGTGTCTATGTTCTAGGATCTGTCGGAGAGTGAAGATATGATCTATGCACCCTCTACCTGGCCTAAAGCCCGCTTGATTTTCCCTCGTTTGTTCCTCCCGACTTCGGCTTAGTCTGTGCATGATTACTGAGCCTAGGATTTTAGAGACTATGTTCGTTAGGCTGATCCCCCTATGATTATCACATGAGGATTTGTCTCCCTTCTTGAATATTGGTATAATAAGTGACTTACCCCAGTCTGATGGAACCGTCTCTGATTCCCAGACGTTACCTAGGACCTTAGTTAAAATACATACTAGTATGTCACCCCCATATTTAAGCACCTCCGGAATAATTCCGTCGGGTCCTGCCGCTTTGCCTCGTTTCAGATTACAGATAGCTTTTGTGACCTCACTTACAGACGGCAGGCCAGTGTCTATATCCCATTCAAGTGTGTGCTGGATGGCGGGGAGGCTCAGTGTGGCTGTAGGCAAGTTAAATTGTTCCTCAAAATGTTCTTTCCAGCGTTCAAGGCGTCTATCCTGAGAGCTAATTAAGGAGCCATTTTTCTCACAAATAGTCTCACTTATGATTTGCCTTCTCCCACCCGTTTTCCTGATGAGTCTAAAGAGTTGCCTAGTGTTGCATATCGCCGGTGCTTTTTCTATCTCTTTCGCCTTTGTCAACCACCACTGTTCACGGTCCTTGCGGAGACTTTTCGTAGGCTTCCTTTTGTGCAGCTTTCGCTCCTCATGGAATTCGGAGCTCGCCGGAATAAGTCTTCTAGCATCTATCAGTTCGGATGAGGCAGTCGAAATCCAATGGTTTTTACTCACCTTTGGATTTACCTTATTCACAGCTTTTACAGCTGTATCTATGGCTGACTGAATATTCTTCCAGGATTCTTCAGAGTGAGTGCAGCTGTCGAACTCAGATATGCGTTTAGCTAGTTCTTCCTCAAATAGGGACTTAGTTTCCTGATCGAGCTGGGGACGTGATGGGTTTACCGCTAGCTGTTTCCTACGTCCGTTCAGTCGTAAGCACACACGAGTGCGGACCAGTGCGTGATCGGTATCTACACACGTGTTCCAGAAGGAGCGACAATCCCCTACCGACCCACGCCAACGATAGATTATTGCTATGTGGTCTATTTGTGTCCAGCGTTGGTTTGATGATGGGGGTCGCCATGTCAAACAGTGTCTCTCCTTGTGTTTGAAGTTAGTGCTTACAAGAAACAAATGATTATCTGAACAGAACTGTAGGAGACGGTCACCGTTGTCGGTTCGCTGGCACGGAATTCCATATGTGCCACCAACATTCCTCTCAGATTGACACAATTTCCCTACTTGAGCATTAAAGTCACCAGCTAAAACGACTATGTCTGAGCGTTTAGCCTTTCGCAGCAAACTAGATAGCTTTTGGTAGAACTCATCCTTCGTTTCATCCGAACTGCAGTCAGGGGGGGGGGCGTAGGTGGAGATTACGAAAAGGCATCGGCGGGTAGTGCAGTCTTTTCTCCTTTTCACTGATCCGTTCAGGCGGACAGCACACATTCGGCTATCTACCGGGATCCAGTCAAGTAATGTCTTTTCTGCCCTAGTACTCAAAGCTATCCCAACACCAGCTAATCCTCGTGAGCTAGCCGTCGCATCTCCTGACACCCTCAAGGTGAATTTTGCAGATTCATCCTGTTGGCCAGGTGGGGTTAGGTGAACAACCACACTTGGGTCTTGTATGCGTGTTTCTGAAACACAACATACATCAATGGCTCGGGATGCCAGTGTCTTGGCTAGTGATGCTTGTTGTCCTATTTGTCAAAGTGTCCTAACATCAAATGCTCCTATATGAAATTGGTGGCGTGGCTTTAGGAGACTATCGGTAGTGGTTTTTCGGCTTCCGTCGTTTTCAGTGCACACAGAGTGTAGAGGAAGTGAAAAGCCATCAAGTAGAGGAGTTGCATTGGTAGAAGGAAGGCAAGATAATAGGGATGAAGATGAAGACAAAGATGAGTGAGGATTAGAGAGGTTTCGCATGCACTTCGGATTGTGAGGGCGATTGTTACTTCCCGGCTGCCCAGAGTGGAAGTTGGTTGCGTGACCGCAGAGCCCAGGGGACAACTGCTTGAGGCCGGTCACACGCGGCCTGTTTTTGTTTGTTCTTTATCATTTGGTGTGTCTCAGTAGCATATTTATCACTTCTGCCCTGTGACACGGCAGTAGGAAGCGCGGTCGTTGTTAATCCGGGCCCCGACCGATCCGGCATGATATTTTGTGATTTACTTCGAGTCATACTAAAATATCCAACATCATGTAGTATAATTGTGGTAATAATATGAGGAATTTGTTCAATAGTAAAATTAACTTACAGGCATCAAAGTAGGTGGGAGAACGGGAACACATTCATTTTCTTTGGATGTCACAGAATAGGATGGAACGCAACTTTTCTGTTCCGTTAACTTATTGGATAAAGAGAGAAGAGGAGGTGGGCCAACACCTGCAGGTTGAATTGGTGAAGGCAAACTACGATAGGTAGTACTGGTTGTAATAATACAAGAAACAACAGGCGACGGTTGCACATGATTTGGTGAGATTACAAGTGGCAGGTTCGTATCCACAGTAGTCTGAATACATGGATTCGGGAACAAAGATTTATTTGAAGCTTGGTTAGATCGAAATATATCGTGCTTAGTGTTATCACTTTTTGTTTCGTTTACTTCCGACTTCGTAGCTAGTGGATCTTCGGGTGGAATCTTTGGAGTTGACACTGATGACGAAAATAGAGAAGAATCAAGAGATGATGGAGAAGAGGGTAGAGATCTTAAAGCAGCTGATGCAGTTTTCCAAAGCTTTCTTTGTTGAAGACAGAAGTGTCCGACTTTAAAAGTGACTACTAGACGTCGCAGTTGCACCAGTAGAAGATGAGATACCCTTCACATCACTAGCATCTAAAAACGGAATCCTTAGAAGTTCTACCCGTTCAGCATAAGTCATGGGTTCAGTTATGTCGGATGCTGGAGAGTTTATAATCTCATTCTCGTTAACGATAAGAGGTGACATGGTAATAGATCCACTTTTAATATCATGAGAATCAGCTTTTAACTCTACAGATCTTTGACCAAGTTTAAAGACGGATCTTGTTTGCCTGGAACTATCCAGACGGCCTATCGGAGTAGATGCAACAGGTTGTTCATCACCAAAATTACTTTCAGGTTTGGATAAAGGTGTATTTGACAAACTTTGTGGAACATCATTTGATTTAACAGAAAGTGATTTAGAACTGTTCGGTCCTTGATGGACAACACTGTCTATCGCCATCTCTCTGTAAGCCGCCCCACTGTTGACTGACTTTGAGTAAAGTACCTTCATTAAAACAATATACTTCCTTGATGGCTAGACGTTTTCACATTACCGCTATAGATGTCAGGTGCCGACTTCGGATCCAAGATCCAATATGACAAGATTCTGTTTCCCACAACTTTTCAATGGGCTATGCTTTTATCAGTGCACCGTCATCCATATGTATCTCACCCGGATTTCTCAAGTTTATGTTCACTAAGTACGGCTTAGCCCACACTAGGGTCTTGCAAGCTGTATCAGTCAAGCTGATCGCCTTGTGGTAATCACATGAAGAGTTGTCCCCTTCCTATAAACTGAAATGACCAACGATCTATAACAGTCTGATAGGGCCCCATCACTAGATTCATGACTAATTAGTATTTTAATTAATCTGATCGACTGTTTATCACCGCAATCCCTAAACTCCTTCCAAGTCAAGTAAGCAGGTCTTACATCTTTGTCTCGTTTTAGATTGAAAACAACTTCTGCAACATCGGCTGTAGTTAGAGGACCGATGTCCACATCCAATTCAGCCTGAGATAGAATGATGGACAAACTGTAATGCTGCTGTAGACCAAATGGATTGCTCTTCAATACGTTCTAGCCATCTGCTCTACTGGGTTGTTCTGAAACTAGTATCCCTCTAAAGGATTATTTCAATTACAATAGCCTTTCAGGATCAATGTCAATGCCTAATCTCCTGTTACAAATCTTAGTCATGCATTTATTTTGTTTGAAATTTCAAGATTATTACTGGCGTGAACTTTAGACATTCATTTATTTTCTTTTTTCAGATAATCTTCTTCCAATTCTAGAATCTACCTACAAATGAGTTCTAGGACGCATATATTCGGATAAGGTATGTCGAGTCGGATGATACTCAAATCGGAGTTATGTCGTGAACTGAAAGAAGTTAGAGCTGAGGTAGGCGTTGCTGAATTTTATGAGAATGGCTCCGCGGTAAACATGCCTCACTCGTAATCCAAATACCCCACACTCGATCACTGGAGTGATATCACACACTCAGACGAGCCGCATTAACAAGTACAGTCTGAAAACACCAACCACTTGACTAGTAAGCAGTAAATAGCAAACTATACCCGTATTACTTTGACAATAAATAAATAATAGATAAGATAAGAACAGGGAAATTAGAATTTATTTACAAGTGGGTAAAAGTGTAAGTAAACAATCCAGTTAGTAAAGACTTCTATTTATGGGAGCTTTTTAAAACCAGGACTATTGTTGATATTTTGTCTTCTGAACAGTTCATGCACAGGTAAACCGATTGCTGATAACAAATGAGCAGCAGGACCAGAAGGTTGAAATTGACTTTGATTCTCTGGATCTTTAATGGAAGCACCTATATTACGAGCAACATGCTGATCTAATTCTGATTCCGATGTTTCTATACAGCTTTCTGGTGTCGAATCTGTATCTTCAGATGAATCAATACTATGGTGACTAGTGATTTCGAAGAAACTTGTATCCTCCGGTTCAGCAAGTTGGATATTTTTACGCGGTTTCTGAAAAATGAAGTTAATAAAACTTTAAACAGTAAGTTTTTAAGAAACATAAATAAAAATTGCAAAGAATAAAATCTATAAGTCCACAAAGGCGTTTCATTAGTACATATATATATATATATATATAGAATGTGGGAGGATTTTTACCTTTGTACTGCATAACGTTTTTCTGTAAGCTGAAAAGTGGTGGCGCATTGAAGATTTATGTGCAGTCGGTGTGTAACGGCCAATGTTTGCTGGTTCATTCTCTAATTCATCCTCTAACTGTGAAAAGTATTTCTTCATCGAAAATGATTTCTTTGTTTTGGATGAAACATGCCTAGATTCAGCACGATCTTCATCTGACGAACTAGAGAAACAGATAGGTTTTTCCGATTTAGGGATAACCTTTTTGGGTGAAAACGGAGATTTCTGAAGGAAATAAAAAATAGAAAGTGATTAACAATAACAATTAAAACAAAAACTTGCACTTGTTTCGAAATGGTAATACATCTTGAACAGATATCAGTGACTTGTCTGTGTCTAAACGGCTAGAAGATTGTGAACCACATAGTTAAAACCACGTAGATAACGTGTGGTGAGAGCTGGCTGCTAGCCAAAGTTGGTAGACAGTAATTGACGTCAATGTTTATGTCCCCAATATTAGTGGTGAGAAAATGAGAACAAAGGCTTTGCGTATTCGGATACAGTTAGCAAATGGATGATCTGACACAGCCACAAAGAAATGCAAGGTTAACTTTCTGTGAGAAACAACCAATCAAAAAACTGCATTTTCTACTAACATTAACCTACAATAATGTACATTAAAATCTATAAATATGTGTTGATTTTCCTTAATAAACGATCTGTTCCCTGGCCCTTGTCTTCTGTTGTTACAACGGAGTTTAAATCTTAGCCTCTGAATAACCAGAAAGGAATCACGGTACAGATTATAACTAGAACTCAATAAGGTCAATCATGTAGAACGTTGTGTAGTACATGGCTAACTGGTCCACGTATTTATATATTATTGGTGAACTCCACGAATATTGAAAATTGCAACTGAAATTAAAACGTCACATCAACAAAATTTAATAAAGAGAATTGCATAATGGTAAATAGTTGTAGTGCTTTTTAATCTAACAACAAATAAAAGACCTACACGTTCAATTTGTTTTTGCTGATTTCCTCCTGAATCCTTCGATATCTTAATACTGTCAGCAGAACTGGATGATAGACAATCTTCAAAGTAGGCTGGATACTCAGAACGAACGCCATAAAGGTCGATCAATTCATCATCATCATCGCCATCACTTGTGAGCACATCATACACTTTCCTCTGTGGAGGATTAATTGTGCCCGATACATTATTATTGTTTTCTTTGTTATTTAATGAATTTGAAGACTTCATTATTGATTTAGGTTTGCTATTCGTCGAAAGGATTTTATCTAAATAAAAAGATACAATGTAGAAGACAATACAAAAACAGAAGTTGGTAAGCCGTGTACTACATTATAGCTTTGTGCCAGAAGGTATATTTGTATTGAAAAAAAAGCGTCTATTAGAAAGTCATTATACGGTCTGCATATCGAAGATCAGGGTGAATAGATATTGGTATGATTATGAGCAATAAATTATGCTTGAAACATCGTCAATAGTAAATAATACTGTGTTACACTGTGTGACTTTATCAAAATAAATTTACTCTATGATTGATTTAAACTCTACCATAATCACTAAGTTCTATTGTTATATCAGTGAATAGAGAAGATATGAATAAATGAGTCAACCATTTAGTGTTTAATGGCTGATTGCATAAGATCATGCTGTTGAGTTATTCACACACACACACGCATACACACTAAAATAAATGTGCCCAAATCCTGATTCACTTATAATCCTCTGTTTGAATGAGCCAGGAATACATTTTATGCCGAGAGCAATGTTTAATGTCTTGATACAGTTGAATAAGAACTCTAAATGAACATCCACTTTTTGATAATTTTCAAATACACTGGGTTTTGAACAAAGTCAAAACAACAGTATAATATAAGCTAGTGGATTATTTCGTGGATTCCTTTCACCTGGCTTCAACCCGAAAAAATATGGTTGATAGGATCTCTAAGTTACACAAGTTCGGAATGACGTAAGTAGTTAGATTATTATTAAGTATTAAAAGGATAGATAATTATTTGAAGGATAGTTAAACAATAGTTCTTGAAAAAAGCAGAGTTCAAAATTTAGGTGGCACGAGTTCGAATCTCAAAAGGGAACTGACTGGATTCAATGAAGAACTTTGCATAGATATGCAGCAGTTCGAGTTGCCACACCCTATGTGGCACACAAAGCAAGAGAAGACAATAGAGAGAGACAGGAAACAGAAATATGAGGCAAAAAGAACAGTAATATGGAAGAACAAGACTGCAGGTACGCCTTGGTGGCGGGTGTCAACAAGCACAGAACTTAAGTCCAAAGCATCCTGACGACTATCTTCAACCATCTAGAAAAATAAAGTTTAACCAGAAAAAGTATGCCGGCAAAACAGGTTGCATAACGATGAAAATATGTTTTTACAAAATACAACACTTGTTTAGCACTTAAAGAGGCGACCAACCTCGATAATTTAATCAGCACACATACTTGCTACCTTTACGTACAACGAAGTATACTTAAGTTGTTCTGATAAAATTCTATTGAAAACTTTAACCACTTTCTATGACAATCGTAGCATACCTAGTAAAAACTGAAAAGCAATCACAGCAAAATAGATAGACATATTCCCAATAGTACTTTTTGACTTCTAGAGATAGTCGACATATTTTCTTAATGTTGCAATAGAAAACAAGTTTACTTCGTTCCCCTCCTTAGTTAGAAAGATTTCTGTTTCTATTTAAAATATTTGAATGTCGACAAAAATTTCACTCTCAAATGTTCATGTTTGATTGACTGAGTTCGGTTACGAAGGTGTATCAGTTAAAGAACCACTTAAAACGGGAAGGTAGATGTCCAGTGATTCCCGGTTTTCATTGATTCCCTGGGTTATATCAGTTCGCGACAAAATCTATTTTAAAATAAGGTTAATTGTTCAGGCCAACTTCATGGACATGAAGCTGAATGAACAGGTTTTACTGTTAATTCATGACAAGCTAAGGGAGGAAAATGAAACCGATAGTTTGACATTGATTAACAAAGCTCAACTATGATGATGCACAAGTAGTATTTATACTCAGTTCCATAAGTTGAGAACATCGCTGAAATCATATTGTACGTTTTATGTTAATAAATTGTTAATAAATATATGCACATTAAGCTGTTCCAATCTATCTCCTTTACAACTTGTAAGAATATTGAAACAGACAATTATTAAAAATTGTTATCTGGCAAGTCGACTGACCATTAGCTTCCAGCAATGACTTCATAATATCTCCCATATTCATAGAATCATCTTTTCCCTTGATGCTAGGATGAGAGTATTCACAGTAACCATTTTCTGATTCATCTGCAGTAGTATCTTCATCAGAACTTGTACCGTCACTGCTTAAATTACCCGGCTTTTCAGGTTTTCGCTTTATCCCACGGCTAAAAATGATATTAAAACAGTCAAAATTACTCCTGGTCTGAAAAAAACAAACACGAAAAATACCATATGTTTATGCACATAAGTAATATAACGTGTTCTTAGCAAGAAAAACAATTAAGGAGTTGTACATTTTCAGTCTACTAAACACCAGGAGTATGAAATCCCTCATGAATCAATCGTGTATGCAGTACTGTGTGACAGAAACTAACCCAGCATGCAGATCTGCTTAAAATAGCTAGGACAAATATATGGCACGTTCTCATATTAATTAGTAGAAATAATTTGAAAATTTACTAGAAGCTTTATTCGAAGATTCGAAAAAAAGTCAAATGAAGTAATCACCTTATTTACTTTAGAATTTACACCAGCAGCGTATCAGATGTCTGTTGAAAGTAAAACCAGGTATATGGTATGGTGAATGGACCATCTAACGTGTAACACAGACGTTGGACAAGAAGTACATGTGAGAACCGGTTCAGATAAAATGATGGAAGCAACTATTCAGTGAATCAACAACATACAGATATACCGATTTCTAAAACACTGCAGTTCAATAACATAATGGTAATAAACTGTATGTCTGAATATACTACACACAATATAGGGTACAACACTAAAGAGCTGAACAAGGATTTTATTCACAAGTGCTTCTATATTTCATATGAAGTCCGAGATACTGCCCAAACACTCATATCGAATTAGATAATCCTTTTTACAGCCTACTCTCCAAGCCATTTGACTTCAAGTTCGATTAGCAGGGCAACTGCACATTCCCATGGTCGCTTGTGACCACCATTCATCCCATAGAGATCTTGGAGCCCATGTGCACCATGATTTTTCCTACTTGTATAGCTGAACCATTCATGCTTACCAGTCTGGTGGTGGTGAGGCGGAGAAACACCCCGCCTACCCCACAAGATGAGACCAGAAGCCGAAGAATAACAGTGATGAGATTTATTCCTAGTATTAAGTGATTGTGCTGTCTTTACGAGGCGTAGGATACAGAACAGTTATGAATCAACTGTTAGAACTCCTACAATACAAGATAGGATGAACTCATCAGCTAAAATCGTCTATATTTCATTATTTCCTCTGTTTCTTTGTTTCCTTCCCATTACCACTGTATTTTATCGCTTTTTTGATTATGATAAGTTGTATGACATCTATCACACAAACTAATGGCTAGAGTAAACATTGATTTCTAAATGAATCAAGCTTAATAAAATAGTTGACATAAACAATTAAAGATTTAACTAACCGATGTTTCCTTGGCTCAATACCCTTGAAGGAGGATGAAGAATTCATAAAGTCTTTGAGAATTGATGAAATTGAATTGCATGGTAAATTAGGTTCATTTGTTCCATTACGCTCCAACAACATCTCATCCAATTCTTCCGGAGTAATGAACATCCATGACTCGTCTCAAACAAACAAAAATAAGGAAAATGAATTCATCGGAAACAATATTGAACGGGTAAATGTATATTATGTAGAATACGGTCATTTCATTTTATCAACTTTTATACGAGAATAGGTGTAATAAATGAGCACTTAACAAACAAGTAACGAATCGTACGATCCTACCAACAAGCTTCCTGCTAAAAACTATCCAGCTTACAACACTGGCTGAGATCGATGATGTAAATATTATGGATTGACGAATAATATTAAGGGGTAATCTGAGCAGTTAGAAACCAACTCATCATTGATCTACAGACTGAGTTTGTTTGTGAGCTGAGCTCGTCTAGGCTATGCTGAGGATGAAATCTGTCCAAAAAGAACAAAACGGTGTTAAGATCCCTGTAATATGACTGATGAAAATCTGCAAATCACAATGCGTAGTTCCCAACTATTCATATTGCTTGTTTGCATGACTGAACATTCATGTGTTCTACATACAAATGAGCAAAAAAACACACCTAAAGATACGACTGACTGAAATCCAGTTACATGGGTATATATTAAGCAACATCACTGCATAGTAAAGAACTACTATCATGAAATATGACCACAAAATAAAGCCAATCACCTTAATAACTAATTAGTTATGAGGAAGTTTCCCGATATATTACTTGGATAAAATAAAACTAGAACTACTTCCGTCTGTCATTATTATTATTATTGTTCCCTTGGGTTCCTAGTGGAACATAGGGCTTCAACTGCACGTCTCCACTTGCTTCTGTCTTCTGCTGTTCTTTTCACTTGCGTCCATGTTATTCCATACTGTTTCATCTCCTCCTCACACGATCTCCTCCATGTCACCCTTGGACGTCCCACTCGCCGCTTCCCTTTTGGGTTCCACTCGAGGGCTTGACGCGCGATGTCACTCAACGGCCTCCTCAGCGAGTGTCCAATCCATCTCCACTTCCTTCTGCATATTTGTTGGGCCGTCTGTCATATTTAAGTAAAATGAGGATGGTACACCATAACTGTGCAGCGTTTTTCATCAACGATACTTAGCAACAAAATAAACATGTACTGAATATAGTAGTGCTACGGTATTATGACAACTAAAAATGGCTGATAAGATAATTTTCCAGATAAGTCGAACTTTCTCATTATTTTTTGTTTAAAAACACGACACAATGGTAGACCATCTCGCATGTCTCAATGATTTTGATCGTGGTGATGAGAAATGGTGATCCGTTCATTCAAATTTTCTATTTTTATCGAAAAACCATCAAGAACTTTTGTATTTTCAGCCATTTGTTTTTAGTGGATCGAAATGATATGTCCCTATTGGCTGAACGATGCTATGAAGGATATCAAAGCATTTGAACCACTGAGCGCTGCGTCTGAGTCACCGTGGTAACAACCTCGCTGAGATGCGGGAATATGTAAACCGTGAGTCTCGAAAGGACGATTACCGCCACTAGCCACGGCTACCGACGTATAAAATTAAGAGATCTTTCGAATGAATTATTATAACCAAAATAATTAGCTTAAGGCGAAATTGTGTAGTTGTAGTAGTGGGTAAAAGCCAACTCCGATTCGACTGAGCTTTTACATCTTCACACCATTTGTCACCAATTAATATGTTGAGATGTTAGTTATCGAGTTAAAATTTACCACATTAAATTCTTTTATAAATAGTCTCACCCTCACAAAAAGTGAGGGTGATAACTGAAGTCAAAATTTTAGTCTGTATAGCTAGCTGCATGGTGATAGCGAGCCGGCTATGCACTATGTAGCTGTTTGATCTTCACTTTTCTATCTCTATGAAACATGGCCATTGAAAGTGGAAGATCGAAGGAAAAATCTAGCTGACTATGACCAGAAGTACTTGCGTTTTGTCTCCCACGTTTGGTAGCACAATATGATATGAGATATTGAGGTTAGGTGTGGTGTTAGGTAAGAAAAAGAATTCAGTCAATGGGGTTGCGAATCTGCGTCTAGATAGCTGGGATAAATGCTGCGCATGGCAAGACACTGCCTTCCTCGTCAAGCAATGTCAGTTGACATGGGGTGAAGGTAACAAATAAATACACATGCTTAGGCTAGAACATGGAATTGACCCACGAACTCTCTAAGTGTTGGTTTGAGCTATTAAGAGATGCTTAGACTGTTTGATAGGGCCCCCTGGTACGCTAAGAATCTGTGGTATGGATCAGAGACATTCTCAATGACGCGAATCTATCAACTCCTAACGGTCTTCGTGAATATTCTTCATCTAATTATTCTTCTTTAAGTTCGTTTTTCTTTATTGCAGTTTTACTGAATCCATTTCCTTTACCTCAGTGTGATTTTATAAAGTGTGGCAACTTCAAATGATGCACTTTTGTGCAGTATTCTATGTTGATAATTCAGTTAGTTAACTTATAGTATCGATATGTCCATTCCCATATTATCACGAACACTGAGAATCTAACGTGAGAATAAATGAGCCAATACTAGACTCTACAATTAATGTCAGTAAAAAGTTTGAGCATTGTGGAATAGATCAAATAAATTGTAATTACATTTGAATAGTTTACACACAATGAGAAGTTTCTGTTTTTGGTAAATACTTCGAACAAAATTACTGCCAGTGATCACATCACAAAACAATTTCAACAGTTAGTGTGACCACTGGCAGTAATTTTGCCCGAAATATTTACCAAAAACAGAAACTTCTCATTGTGTGTAAACTTTTGAAATTTACTTCTATTTATTTTATTTTAGTTTTATTTATTTATTTATTTTAGGTTCCCAGTGGAACATACGGCTCCAAGCTAGAGCTTTGAAGTTTCGGCTTTATTTTTTACTGGATATGGTTGCTAGCCTTACGCCCATCCTCCGCTCTTTACCGGACTTACTACCGGCTTAGCGAGGTTAAGGGATTGCGTCGGTCGAGGATCGAATCTCGGACCATGTGCCCAGTTGGCGAGCGCGCTCTACTGCAGAACCATCAATGCATATAATTATAAGTTGTTAGATTCTACAACTTCACAGAATGTGATAATAATTTCTATTTTTATTGCTTGATAACTCAGAACAGCCATAAAAACTACACATGTTTTGGGTAAAATAAAAAAAAAGTGAAATTCATATTGTTTATTCTATAAAAATGCACATACCATCAGCAGGAGGTATTCCATTTTCTCCTTCCATAGAATTAATTTTATCAACCAAAGATGAACAGGACTCATTGTTCTCAATATAATTTAATAAGGAGAATAAAGTGTCACTGTGCTCCTGAAGTTGGCCTTTTGTATGTGAATTGGATAAGAAATCATCAGAAGTGCTAGAAAATGTGTTAAGCAAAAGGCAAATAATAAATTTTTTTTATAAATGGAAGCAATAGTTATGTAAAACTACTTATGGCCTACAAAAGATCTTAAAGTAAAATTATACTTACATAACTGCAGTGATAAAACTGTCAATTACCTTACAGAAGTTTTGAAAAACATTATATAACTAAGTAGAACCATTCATTTACAAGGAGAACAAACAATCGTTCAGTGAAGAAATATTTCACTTCAGTAACTTCAATTTCAAATCGTATTGTTATACGATACAACATGGCTGACTGTGAACTCTCTCATAAAACCCTAGTGTTTTTCCATATCACCATTCTTTCTCCCGCACACTTCTCTTTTCAGTTCAGTACAGGTCTTTTGTATCTCGTTGGCATCTCTTTTACAAACCTTTCTGTGCTATGCTTCCGTGCAAAGTTCTATGCTGAAACTCATTTAGTCAATCAAGTGATAAGTGTTAACTTTTGAACTGGTTGAATTTAGTCCCAAAGGTAACTTTAAAAACTAGGTGATAGGGAGCTAAATGAGCCAACAGATTCTGCCATCTTAAATTCATCTTTCGTAAACTAAACTGGATAATGTTCGAATGTATGTCTTCGGGAAATTTTGCATACAACGTTTAGTGTAGTCAGTTTCATACGACAATTTCATATTGTGAATATACATAGAGGTGAATAATGGTGGTAGTTCAATCTTTAAACATATAGAAGCATTGCTGCGGTTGGAGTACATAATAAGTAAATTTAGACAAACAGCTATTCAATATTTCGGCAATGATATCTCTAAATTATTGTCTTCCTTGGAAGTACAACTAGGAGAAAATGGTTTGCTTCTTAAATTTTCTATCGATAATGCTACGAGGGTATCAACTGTTTAGCAGTATTGACCGAAGGTTTTCGAGTTATTCTTCACAGCTTGACCCACTTTATGCTTCTTAACATTAATTGATTTCCTTAATAGGTACTTGTGGTTTTCATTCACTTCAACCCCACCTTCTAGCATCCGTGTTGATAAAAATTTTAGTAAACGACGATTGACTGAGCAATTACAGTATGATTGAATGCCTTTTGTACGTAATTTAAATACAACTGTACAACTTGAGACTGAAATCGTTGAGAAATATTACTCCATCGCTTAACAAATGTTCATTTTAACCTTTGAATAAACGTCAATAAAAGAAATATACCAACCTAACTCTTTAGGGAAATAATATCTAAGTAAGCACCTAAGTAACTGTGATGACACATTATTCTGTAGAAATTGCATTACTATTGTTTGAATGGGGTTCAGCTAGACTTTTACCCAGTCAACACTTTACATTTGATTTGGATTTACATGAACAGAGATATGCAAACGCTTGAGAGCACAATTTTTCTTATGCCTTCCATGTTCAAGTTGCACAAGATGAGAGATTGCTGAGAAGCATGCGTGTATATATATTCAGCAAATAAAGCTGTGAGAAACTAGGCGAACGGGTTAACCTTGAAGAAATACGTGGCTTGTACGGATGAAGAAAAACACCATGGTTGAAGTGTATTTCATTACTTAAAGCAACACAAGAGAAAGAAGCTGCGTTGAATATTACTCATTTTAAAGCTATTCAATAGAAATATAACAAAGAATCACACACTAGTTAACATACACGTAAGCCGGTGGTTTCGACGATGCTTCTGAAAGACAATAGAGGAAATGACATTCAGTTTGATTCTGCAGCTGTCTGTACAACCAGGAATTCTCCGCAACACCCTGAGAAAAAAATGGACAGCATGACCTGAGTCTTAATATTAATAAAAATTACACTATCAAGTGGAAAAAAAATTGTCCGAAAATGAAACATTTGTGCTAAAGAGATTAACATGTAACATGAGATTTTTCAACCTTATACCTCCTAGCCACCTAGCATGGTGGCCACATTGCAAACATGACTGATAGAATTCAGTCTGCACCGAAGATAGGACTAGACGCATTACACTAGTTACTGACTAGTGTGCAATCAAAAAATAACCTTATACCTTATATGAGTACCACTTACGCTCAACTTAGTCTATAAACGATTATGGGTATTAAACCCCAAATTTGTCCAGATGGTCCCCCTGAGGTTATCTTTGAAAGATCTATTCCCTTCCTTATTAACTTTTTACTAATTTAATACAAACCAGGAACTTGGTACATTATGGGCACCAACAGATGTGCCACACAAAAGTAATAAAACAACAATATATAAAGAAAATAGGAATAGAATGAATGGGCATCCAGAAAGCAAAGAAGCATACTTGTCACAATCACTCGACATTCATCACTTCATGTTACTGTCAGAAGGGGAGGAGAAAAGGAAATCGCAGCAATTTTTGTAGACTTTCTATATTGATTCTAACTAGTCCAGAATAGAAAGTATATAAAAATGATGCTTAAAAGAAGAGATCCACAGAGTCGTTAGAAATTGAAGTAAGTTCGCCAGTGGTCGCGACTCTCAGCCATATCTGACAACGTTTCGAGACGCCAATTCGAAATATCTCTCGGGTCCCAACCAAGTGGCACAGTGGTTAGAACTTTCGTCGACCATGCACATGGTCTGGGGTTCGATCATCCCTTACCGACGCACACCTGATATCAATGGTCGGCCTGCAAAATTTGGGCTACCGATATCACATGCTGAAAATTCCATACTAGTACCAAAAATACGGTGTGAAATCAAGCTATAATCAAAATAAATAAAGTAGTCGTGACGTATCAACTGATGCTAAGCTAACACAAATATATTTCATCCTACGACGTAACTGCAGGGTCTGACCACCTATCGACCGGTACGGGAGCCTCCCGGATGATATTTGTAACATATGTACACGCCACCGAAGCCTATGTTTCAAGATCACCACGCTCAATGGCTGTTAATTTCCACCACGTCCAAACATGGGCTGCTAGACCTCAGAACTGTTTACACGATGATGCCACTGGACGTAAGCAATTTTACGGATAGAGTGTGCAGAGTTGCAGTACATCCTTAGCTCGGAGAGGCTAAGTTCTACGGGAGTAAAGCAAGACTCCGCGCAACGAAGCACAATAAACCGGACCTTTGACAGCCAGGCTGAGGTCGCAGCAGCGCCCGAGGTGGCTCAAATAGGAGTATGTCATCCTAGCTGTATTGTGTCAAATTCGAAAGGAGGCATCAGTTCAAAACCCGGTTGTTGCTGAGTAGTTATAGCCTAGCTCTATTTTGTACATAACTTTGGCTTCTTCTTCTATTTAGACAGTTGGTAATTATAAAGTGTTTCGACCCGAGTCTGTGTTCTGCTATTCACATTTTACCCCCAGCGTGTTTGATATATTATTGTCCGTGGTGTTCTGTTACATAGCTCTTACAATAAGGTTGGAAATTTCGTCCGTCACATCTCCACCTAGGTACACGGACATGTTGACAACCCCACTGTTGGTTGGAAACACTGGTTATGGCTGATTGTATTTCTTCACTCTGCCTAAGGTGTTTCTGCATAGGGCTTCGAAGATTTTAACAATCTTCTCAGGCACAAAACGTATTCTGGAACATTGTCCAGCTTGGTTAGTCGAGGAGAAGAGAAGAATAGTAGCAGCTCCATCCTCGAACACCTTGTCATCTCCGGACATCGAGCACCCCGCAAGAATGCTTCACAGTGCTACACAGAGTCCCTCAATATCGTACAAAGGGACTTCGCATAGGCCATCTGCACATAGCTGAATCATTAGCTATTCAGGATCCGAAACCGGACCTCTGCATTCAAAAGCACTACATACATTCACTCGCCCTACCGTAGCCAAAGTTAAGTTCTTACTATAATTTTACTTCATTTTATTATCTTATGAAAATGAATCGTCGAAAAGTAAATTTTCTTAGTTGTTTACGTCATTTTATTACATCCCTCTCTTTCTAACAAGCAGTTACAGAGAGCAATTTTGTCCAACGAATCGAAGCCAGCCTTAATATGAAGAAACAACGATTGTTGGCCTGCAATACATGTAAGAGTGTTCCAATAACTAACAAAGGGTGAAGACATTATTAGTGCATCCACGATCTGAATGAAATCCAGTCTGTTTCTCGAGAAGCAGTTTCTCACGTATTTTCCACATCCTGCGAAGCACCTTTTAGGTTGGTAACCGGCGTACCATTTGCATCACAGACCGTCTCGCTGACATGCTTTTTAGCTGTCAGTGGCTTGGATGAGCGGGAGCAGCTTCCGACTATTGTCAAATGCAGCTGCTGATTCCATCTCACACGTACGTTCTGACCAATAAGCTTCGAAGTCCTGTTTGATCTTGAGTATGTTATTATACTTGCTAACTACCGGAATGGAGCGGCTCTAATAGAGAAGTTGCAAGAAACTCACAAAAACTCAGAGGAGCATTCTTTTAAGCCGCAAGCGAATGTATTCGCCGTACCCACTTTGATAGCGTTTAGCAGGTGTAGCCAATGCTCATGTAGCTACTTGGAGGGCTTCTAGCTAGCCTTGAGTTTAACTCAGTCCGGTACTTCGCAGAGATACCAGGTGCCACCGGTTTACTTACTACAATCTATAGGAGACACCGTTTATGAACACCACCAAATCTCAGGGTAAACCTTATACACACTAAAGCATGATTGAAGTCCAGGTATGTGCTGCAGAGGAGCTGCATACAGACCTGTATGCATCCACGCCATCCAAAACTGACGGCAATGAGATTAATCTGAGTATATGCTTGATTGGCAGAGTGGAAGCCAGGTAGCGTTACGGCAATCGATGTGTCGGAAGTTGGTGCTGGCCAGAAACAGGTTGTGATCTGAGTAAAGCTGCAGAAGATGGTCCCTATTATCTGACCTGAGATCATGCAAAACCCACTTATCACCTGGACGTCTCTCCTCTGAACCTAAATGGCCGACCTGTGCTTTCAAGTCCGCAGCTAGCAGCACTACGAAACCTTCCTGACACGCCTGCTTTAGAAGCTCTCTCAACTGGTTATAGTAAGACTACTTTTCATTTTCATCCAAGTTGCAACCTGTTGGTGCATAGACAGAGATGACAAATCGGCACCGCTTCTCCTATCGATCGCTTTTTACTCTCGGACAATCTGCTCCACTTCTGTACAAAGTAGCATGTTGAAACTCAGTCCGTCAGTTAGACATGACCAAACAGCCACCCCAATCAACCAAACAATTCAGATACAATGGATAATTTAGGCTGTACTGGAAAAAGTACAGCAGTCACTGACAAAATTCCATACTGACTATTTCTGTTACGCAAATGAGAGTCCATCAAATGGTATGAATTGAAGCTACCAGTTAAAATGACTGAAGACGTGAAATATCACTTTGTACGATAAAACAACTGCAGCCTAATGAAATATTGCATCAACATAACTGGATATCATGAAAAAAACTTTCAACCAGAGTGTGACGCTTAGTGCTTCGGGTATTTCATCAGTGTACCACGTTCACTTTTAGTTAACAGAATATTTACTTCATTTCTATGTGGAAGTGAAAGTATTATTGTTGACATTTACACAAAGTATTCGATTCATGAATGTGTAAGCAAATTTATGCATATTCGTGCACTGTGAGCAAACTGGAAATAATCTGATGCCTGATAACAGCTCGTTAATATGATGGAAGGTGAGGATAATAAAATTATAACAAGAAGAATTATCTATGATGTTCTGTTTGTAGTTCCTCATTAAAATTATAGCTGACCACTAACAGTTTCTCGAAGTTTTCGTGTTTCAGACTCATAATAAACAAATCAACGACAAACAGAATGAAATTACTGCAATTACACGATGAATTACCTGAAAGTAGCCGATACGGTTCAATCTTTCAAAAAATATATCCCACTTTTCCTTAGAATCACTGGGAATCACAAAATTAGGTGTGAATTGCGAATTTTGTGTATGCGAGTCAACATGGTTTAGCAGAAGATCAAGTCCAATACACTAAAAAGAAAAATTTGAATAAAAATTCACTGAGCCTTTAACAGAACTGTTTTATTCACTGATACTAAAAAAGTGGAAATTTTATCGAACAAGCATTTGGATTTTTAAGCAGTTGGCAATGAACCACACCTATGGGTTGATAGTAGCTGCCACTGGAATCCAGGAGGCATGGTTTATCATATCGATGTGTTTGCAATCCAGTGAGTGATAGTGTTCTCACTAAGACTCAAACTCAGCACCTATCGTTTTAAACTCCGAAACGTTATCTACTAGGCTACGGAGCCACAACACCCACCTCCTGTGTAACCAGCATCCGTTGGTAATGATTGAAATCACCTTAAATTCCCCGATGATAAATTTACCTTGAACATGTCGGAGAAATACGTTAAGAGACCACGCATCCAGGGAATAATAAAATGAATGAGCATGAAATACAAAACAACTTCAACGAACAACAAATATTCCATAGTTTGCTTAAAACAAGAGACTACCAGCTGACCTCTGATTGTTAGCTGCACAAATAACTTGAGCAACTGATAGACCACTAACAAAACATAATGATAACAAAAATAAATTCATTTGTAAACTTAAACATTGTGATAGCGAACACGATGAAGCCTATTAAAAGTTGACTCCCACCTCTTCAATCCACCAGAAAAAATGAATAATTCTCTCTTAATAGTTTACATAGACATTTTGATAGCTTAAACTTTAACTGCTTTTTTTCAGTCTTTGCCAGCGATACTCTTCATCGTCCGTAGCAAGATTTACGTCCTCATGTTAATACAAGGAATACTAGATATGAAGTTCAATCCTTTTACAAGCACAATTATTGGTTACCATTGATTGTTTTAAGAGAAAAGTGAAAAATTTAAACAGTGTAACACTGTAGACACAAATGATCAAGGAATATATAAAAATTAATCGCCATGCATTGAACAGTCGACATTCTTGATATGATATCATTTACCGCTGGAACAAATCAGAGATATAATCTCCAAGTGTATCACTAGTTGAAATTGATCTGAATCAATAGTGGATTACCAGTATTTTCACTTTTGCAAATATCGTGTGAACGCGTGTCAAAAAATAAAAATAAAAAGTCCACTATCTGTTTGTTGTGCTTTAAATTGATAATCAAGTTTTTATAAATGGAGTTCATGTAGACACGTGGCACTACAACAAAATACTAAGGCAAGACATACTCTCTGTGAGAAGCTTGTGTACGACGGAATAGATCAATAAATTGTAATTGTTTACATACAGTGATAAAATCAAGAAACTTATGATTGTGTGTAAACAACCGTTGGGACATAATTACAATTAATCAAGTCAAGACGTTTTAAGGCTAGCTATCTTTAAAATGCTATGAAAATAGCGCGTAAATTTATCTACGGCTTAGATCATATCTTTGGCAATTCTATGCGATTTCCTCAAGCCCACCAAACGATTTCCGAAGGCCGTTTAAGTAGATCCCCTAAACAATATCTATGTAAGAAATATTCGAGCTGATTATCATGACACACAGATGACATTGAAGTAATAACTAAAACATGTTAGACTCTAAATAAGGTGTCAACAAAATCCTAGGGTTAGGGAGAGAACCTTCTTCAATACACAGTACGTAAATAATATGAAGAAAATTGATAATTTTAATCCATAACAACAAAACTAACCAATTTCAGTCCAAGTTCAGCAGCTAAGCGACCAGATGCAGTATTGTTACTCTGAGGTTGCATCATTCCGCCTGGAGTTGGTAATGAACGCAGTCGAGCATAACGAAGTCGACTGAACCATACAGGAATGGTTACGTAAGATTTTGATAATTCAGTTAATTTTGGCCAGATATGCTTACGAGGACCGCCCTTATTCATACAATGGTTTGCGAAAATAGTTAAATTTTTGTTAAACAACTTCAACCATGATTGTACACCAGAACCGTCGGAGATTTTATCTGCTAGAATATCTATAGATGAGTTAATAATACACTTCGAATAAAATGTTGTGAAGATAGCTGCGACTGAGTAAGGAACCGTTATATGAGCCAAATGCGCTGTTTCAATAGAATCAGGATATCTAAAACAAGAAGAGAAACATTTTGTTTTGTTTGCTTTTATTTTGTTTTTCTTGAAACAACCTAATTTGGTGCTGTAATGTTTCAACGATAAACTTCGTCATCACTATCATAATGATAATCTTAGGCTAACTACTGCTTAATGATCTAGATTACTAGTAAGTGAAACGCAAGTACACTGTCTAATTGTCACGATATGGATTATTATATAGCACTTAACTAAACGTTCTTATATAACACGTGTCATAAAACTTAGTGCACTAACTTTTATGAGGCTAGTCAGTTATGTTGTGTATAAACTTATAATTCATACACTAATGTCATTCGTTTTTACTTGTTACTAATTTATTAATCTAGCAGAAATGTTACGGACAAATGAAACATGCTAAGAGAGATATGTAAACAAGCATATACGCATGTTGAGTACGTAAATTGCTGCTACTTTAAATAGGTACTATAACCCTACATGTTTGTTACAAACACTTACTGAAATGACCACACCTAATTAACAAAATGTTTACCAGCGTACCAAATTAAAAGTACTGTAATTCAGAGGTGTTCTCTGTTTTAACGAAAGCAATAAATGCCAACGGGATCAACACTACAAGCAAATCTCAAATGAGTTTATGAGAACTAAATTGACACATAAAATCGACTCATTATGAATAAGACAAAAATTGTAATTGAAGCATACTTCATTATTCTTTTCTGAATAGCAGACTGTATCGCACTGGACAAAAGGAAATCAGAGGCGTTGAAAACTTTGAAAGAATGCAAGGCATCATTTAATGCCATTTTGTCCTTCCGGTTTTTGCAAAGGATATTCAGCTTTCCTTGGTACAACCATACCTAGTTTTACACATCAAAAAATAACATTAACTTACACGATTCTCAGCGTTTTCGGGATTTAACCACTTCGGCAAGTGATCCGCACATTCAATGAGAAGAAATTCACCATCTTCATCAGAAACCCTAAATTTCTATAGATAATAAGTGATAAACTAACTGAATAATAATGCGTGGATCAAATTTGCTAAGTTCTAAAAGAATCCATACAATGAACCATTCGTCTTCGATGCATTCCCCACAGTCAACGAAACCAAACAACGAAACCGGACCCTTAGCTGGGAAATAATTCATTAATACAAGAAACCTACACGGTGCTTGAACCCATAACTTGAAAAAATCTTTAAACCACTGATAACGAATGGACGAGAGGCTTGCAAACTCCATATAAGCGTTCCTTCTTCTCTTCACAACATCTTCATCAAGCTCATCAAGAAAAAGCACCCTGTAACATAAGCAGCTTCGCATTCTCGTATTCTAATGTTTTCAACACAATTACGCACAGAATTAAAGCGGTGCACAAGTATTTGTGGATGAATTTGGACGGCAGAACAGAATACACGTCTATAACCAGCAGGATTTGCGTTTAAAGAAAATGAGTTGTCAACGGTTAAAGCTTATGTCGCTACAGAAAACAGAACAAAACATATGAATACGACATGATGATCACGGCTGAAAGTGCATAATGCTCAGACTTAAAAAATAAGTTTGAGTTGAATTCTAATAAAACTCACCCTGTTTGTCAAAATTTATAAACACAGTTGCTACCGATTAAATTCGTAAGTGTGAGATAAACTACAAACACTTAAAGGTTGTAGAAATCTCTCCAACTTTTTAAGGAGACCCCTGCGGAAAAAGCCTTCTTAAACACTATCCTCCATTGAGTGACTATTCCTGCACAGAAACGATAAGCTTGGCCTACAAAACTTCAGTAGTTCGCGAGAACATATCTTTATTTCTTGAAGGCACATGGATTGCTCTTATTTTGTGAAGCAGTCTAACAGAACATTCTAATTGGTTGAGATGCCAGAGTTCAGGTTAGTGAAGATTGATGTGCACCTTGGCAAAGGATCCTAACGCTGAATGCTCCAACATGAAGTTGACGGCGTGATTTTAAAGGAATATAGGTAGTTTTACTGGCTCTGATGGCTACTAATGGTGGCAGAATTAAGTAGGGTGAGAAACCTACCTGTAAAAGAGTTTTAACAGTAATGGAAAAGCATCAACATTCATGCCCAAATATAACTTACAGATCTTAAAGTAAAATTATACCTACATAACTGTAGTAGTAAAACTACGAATTACTTTATAAAAGTTTTGACGAACATTAGATGACTTAGCAGAGCTATTTACTTGAAAGGAGAACAAGCAATCATTCAGTGAAGACATACTTCACTTCAACGACTTCAATCGTATTTACTTTACATCCAAAAGAGTGCTAATCACACTACATAGATAATCAACATAATGAAAAGACTTCGTAAGGTGGTCACTAGAGTATGGAGCTGAAGCGGCTAAAAGATAAAAATGGTCATTAGATGGCTGAATTTATGTGTCAAGAGCTGTCAGAACTGAAATGATATAATGAATTGTAGTAGTGACTAAGAAAACAAAATGAGTATGTGTAAAACTTGGGCACTGGTAGTAAGTAATTCCATATTAGTTTGTTTATTAGATATATCACACAGTGAAACAGTATTATTTACTGGATGACGTTTCGAACAAAACTTTTTGTTCATAATCATATCCAGTAAATAATACTGTTTCTCTGTGATATATCTAATAAACAAACTAATATGGAAAAACAAAATGCGGTTGAATGAAACTAACCGGAAAGTGTCGCTAGTAAGGCTTTTAACAAAAATTTCTATTGGTTTCTGTGTGTCTGGTAAGCGCTTCACCCATAACTGATAAAAGTCAAATGGACTTAGGTTATAAGGATGAAATTATCCTCCCATGCCAAGACGCTGATAAAATTAAGTCTTTTGATCACATTGAGCAGCAATCGTCAAATGTTTGGCATGTGAGTTGCCCCTGTCAAACGTAAGATTATGATGTAGAACTGGTCTACACCGACTACCATTTTGACGACAGGAAGTGAAGTTGTAGTGTGTTGGCCACTTCACTTATTTGGGAAGTTGCAACTATCCTAATGCATTGATTGCTGACCAAATCTCAGCACAGATACGTGTGGCGTTTGTCAAATTACATCATCTCTCGCGTTGACGTGATGTCCAGCTATCAATCGCTCTTTCCTTCTTTATGGCTGAGAAATAGCCACTGAAAGTGGATCACCAAAAGAAGCTATCTGACTTTGACCATAGACATTCGCATCTATCTTCCACATAATATGGTGAGCAGTGTTGAGGTTAGGGGAGTCAATCGATGAGGTTCTGAAGCTGCATCGACTGGGATGGATATGACACGCATGCTGTCATAGTCTTCCTCATCAAACAGTTTCAGTTGACGTCGGATTAGGCTGAAAAAGTCTGAGGTTGGTCATATCAAAACCCAAATTCCATCAGTGAATTTTTCGATTTTTGCTTTAAGCCATATGGGCATATACAAACTGTCCGGCTTGTATCCTCGATAAGCTGGCGACTATTGGTACCGTCTAAAAGCTGTTCTCAAAGGTGCAGATACATTCGCCTCAAATAAACTTCTAGGTGCATCAAATTCTCACATTTTTTATTTTGTACATTTTTATCATAGTTCTTCTGAACAATTTCTCCTACATGCTACATGGAGTATGGGATCTTGGGTTTCTTAACTTTTGACCACAGTCCGACGTTGAAAATTGTCACTGCAGCCAAGTTTCATATTGTTTTCCGTCATGTCTAGCTAAAATTCATGTTATGCTTCACAGTTGGGAAAAAACTGAGTTACCAACTCGGTTGAAGTTACTCGAACTTCTTCTAAGGCATCTGACGCAAACTTAGTAATCATCGTATTTCCATGAGGACAGTGGTTGCATCTGTAAGAGACTATCAGTCTCCTGTCCATCAATTTCAAGTCAAATAAGTGATTGTCTGAATGACAGTTGAACAGTGTCGCGATGGCAAAAGATGCGATCCCAGTACACAAAAAACAAGTGACAACTGCAACTGGCGCTTAATAGCGTTTCTGTAGCTCCAGTGACATTTATAACTTAGTATCCATTTACCTAAGAGGTTTTCGTAATAAAAATATTCCTGGATTTAACTTAGAGTTGGATTTAAAGTTCGAGGCAACTTCACACAAGTATGTCGCGCTTCAAAAGACAGTCTTACAGAATAGAGGTGTAAGAAAGGTTGTTATCAGCAATTTAGGTACGCATGTAATTGATAAATGTTCTGCTATCTTAGCATGACGTTTAAAAATTATCACGTTTTACAAATACCTTTACTTTTTTCAGGAAGGTTTCCCACCATCAAGTGGTTTTAAGGATTTACTTTATAACCATGTGAGCGACCGAAAGCAACTGCAGCAAATAATCGCTTGTCTTGGCGCCAGAGTGGCTGTATCGACTACTGCTCAAATCCAGATGTTCAATATAACATGATAAGCAGTTTTGGTAAAAATTACTTGAGATAAAATATTCGCAAAAAAAATTTCAACCGCCATGCTGAATAATTTAAGCTGCATCATAGAGTTAGAGAAAAGGTTATAAACGTCAAACCATATATTACAGTTTAATATGCGATATCACAATATTAAGACACCTCTCCTCCTTCAGTATAATAACAGAAAGGGGCTCAAATGTTTCGCCCTCTTCTTACAAGGAAAGTGGAAGACACCACTGACTAATTTGCTTTCCACTACCATTACTGTCTCCAAGATATGTGCCTCCCACTTAAAGCATGAACTAGACCTTCATTTACGGTATACTAGCTGTGATCCTGATGGCTGAAATTATCCCGCATGCTCAAGGTCATTGATGGAGTGAGACGCTCACAGGTCATTTTCGTCCATGTTAGTCGGTTATGTTGGATTGCAGTTCCGTAGCCGTTCGTTTACACATTGGTTTTACGTTCTGTTGGCATTTATAGGTGATTACCATGTACTGATAGCATTATTTTGTAAAATATTACTGTTCTTCACACGAAAATAACCACATTTTGACGTATTCTTCATTGAATGACACTATGTCGAAAGCTGCAGCTGCTACAAGAAATAAACTATTTGTGTAGATGACATTACCCCCCAACTACCTCATCTTCTTCATTGTAGAGATTTTTTGACGCATTCAGCATGAAACACTAATCATAACAACCAATATGCTAAGTGTGTCGCAGTCAGATTACATGACGCGGACACCAACATAACTAGCCAGGAAATGAGAATTCCTATCAATCCAGAAAACATATAACAAAATTTTATTGAAAATTACTGACAAAAAAAATTTACCGAGTGAAATTTCAACCAACATGCCGGATAAGTCCAGCCGTCCTGACATATGTTGATTAGTGTACTGTGAGCATAAACTCGCCTAAGAGTTTGTCAGCCTTTCTCAGTTCCGACAGCAACCTGCAGCTGTACTAGAACATGCAGTTGTTATTTTTCCTTTTGTTCCTAAACATGAAGCAGTTCTGTACCTCAGGGACGTGTACAATCTCTGATCTGAGTGCATTAATTCATCTAGATCCAACTGTAAAGTTCACGTTTCATCATTATTATTCGTTGTCTTCCAGATTTGATGTCGTCCACAAATAATAGTGAAGATGGAGTAATAAGGCCGATAAAAAATGACAGCCAATGGCAGGATTTTATCTCCAGTTTTCTCCCGATGTACCGCAGTCAACAGCCAGTATGTTAGGGAGGATCATCCTGGCCGAAATTCTCGCTGCTTCGCCTCCAGTAAGGCATACAAGCTGATAGTTGGTCCCTACTTATTTTTTATGACGCATTTTCTGAAATGAATGTTGGAATTCCAGCTGCCTGTTCCCATGTTTTAGGATGAGTCTTATAACTGTATTACTGCAGTCCTTAAACAGCCTAGCCTAAGCCGCAGACATACTGAAAATATAAATTTGCAGTCATATAATATCCGCTAAGGAGGCTGTCAACCTAGGGCGGAGTCCATCAGCCCTTGGTAACACACCTGTTTCCAGTTTAGACAGTTTAGTGGTGGCTGGTATCGACTTTCGTCGGGTTCACCAGTTTAGTGATTGACGGTATCGACGTTCGCGAGTTGTACGGATTATACTAACGCAAGATCTTATACCAACAACTTCTATAGTGTTCGTTCTTCGAGTACCAAAGATAAAGCAAAAGACCAGATTTTGTCGTCGAAAGTACGTAGTATATTTCGGGACAAAATTGCGGGTAGAGATGAATGCTTAGCTAGCTAGTAGTCGTGCACGCACGTGACACGACGGAGTACCAAATGGCGGGGATGCTTGACCGTAAGCCTTCAGCTAAACAAGTCGACTTAAACAGTGATGGTCAGCATCCAATGTTGAGTGATGATTGCTGTGGTTAATAATTTTGGGGAATTATTTACCGCTACAACAGCATTTTGAGAACCACTGTGTCATCTACCACCACTAAGGACATTCAAGTGGCTGTGGCAGTGACTTTGAAGAAACCCTGGATGTTATGATCAGATTAAAAAACATTAGTGGGGTTCAAAAAGGCGTTCAGCCACCGCTTCATTTGATTCGACCGCCTTACCTATATCATTTACTGGTGAAGGTATGCCAGTTTTTGCCTTAGTCCTAAGTTTATTAAACGCCTACAGTACTTGTTGACGATGTAGACTGTCCAACATTGTTTCCCATATTCTGTATGACTTTTTTACCGACATACTTACATAGGTTCCGAATTTTACGGAAGTCAGTCTCAAACTCCTCTCTCCATGCTTCAATAAATTAGCTCCATGAGCTTCTTTGCTTCCTTAATAGCCTCCTTAATTCACTGCTAACCCAAGGTGGTTTGTGTGATAGGAAAATAACACTTCCCAATACAATGCTTAATCTCACGGAAGCCTCCTCGATTATCTCATTTGTGTTAACCCACCGGTCAGTTAGAGTTGCTGCCTTCCGAATGGTCAGTGTATCCTCTTCCCAAATGTTTGGACGAGGTGCTGACATATGGAGGAAGTCATGAACTTTGGAAATAAAAGTAATGACTACATGATCGCCGCTGCCTGGAGTTGGGAGGCACTTTATGCCATCTACATCCTCCTTCTGGTGTGTTAACTCTAAGTTCAGAGCGCAAGGATCCTGTTTATAGTCATTTCATTTTGGTGAATGCACATACTGTCTAAACGCACTTGAGAAGACAGTCAGTGTAAGTTCCTTCTTGAAACTCGCATACAAGCTAGCTGATGTTAATTCCTCCCTATTAAAATGTGGGGCATCAAAATCAACTCCCGTCAGACTCCTATTTTTATTACACCGAGCCCTCAGCCTTCGCTCTACTTTGGCACTAAGAATTCATGTCATAGTTTCCGTCAGTTATTTGTAAGATACGCAAATTCACTTCCATGAAAATGGCTTGTTTCTGTTCAAGAAATAAAAATCACCCCTGTCCAGTATGAGGTCATCTACTTAAGAGTACCTACATTCAAGTTAATGACCCAAATTTTAGCTTCATGAGTGCTGCTACAATACGCTTCTGATAACTTTGACTCAATGCCTATGTCATCATGGATGTATTAAGGAACTCCGAAAGATCTCCCTCCTCCTATTCTGCCTAATCTAACACAGATATACCCTTGTATGAAAGGATCTGAATTTCGTGGACGATTTCTGTCTCGTGCCACGTAAACTCGAAGCCTTTCAAGCGAAAATTAAAAGACTGGAAGAGGAAGCAGCCAGAGAAGACAGGACTTCAGGTAAACATAGAGAAGACACAGGTGATGAAGATAACCAACCGACAGCAACGACAACTAGCACGAATCACCATTAACGGGGAAGATTTGGGAGAGGTTACCTCCTTCACTTATCTGCGAAGCACATTTTCAACTGAGGGAAGTCAGGACGAATGAAGACGTCAGAGCCAGCCAGCCTGGATCGGAAAGGCAAAATACGCCTTCATTGACCAGTTTGGAAACCTTCTGTGCTGACTCAGGCAGAGTAAAGAACAAGATTCTGACTTCCAACACAAATGTGTGTGCGTCGGTAGCACAGCGGTTAGGACTCTCGCCGACCATGCACATGGTCCGGGGTTCTATCCCCTGCCGACGCGCACCCTATATCTATGGTCGGCTTGCGAAATCAGGCTATGATATCACATGCTGAAAATTCCATACCTGTATCAAAAATACGGTGTGGAATCAAGCTGTTATCAAAAAAGTGCGAGAACAGTCCTTCTACCTGAGTTATAAAGTTGACCAACGTGTCACTTCAAGGATTTCCAGCAGGACGTGGAACTTTATGAGCAGCTGCCTTCTCTCTATACTGAAGATCAAATGGCCAGAAAGAGTTATGAACAAGGAACTCTGTCTGAGAACAAACAAGTGAAGAGTCGATCGTTCAGCAGATGTGTAGGAGAAAACGGGGATGGATCGGGCATACGTTGAGGGGGCCGTTGAATGGCATTATGCGCAATGCAGGCCGTCGATTGAGTGGAATCCCGATGGGAACCGACGAGTGTGTCGTCGGTGCTAGGATGACATGGAGGAGATCATTTGAGAAGCAGACGAGAGATTACGAACAGTCGTGGACCCAGCTGGAGAGGAGGGCAGGGAATAGAACAAAGTAGAGATGTGTTGTTGGAGCCCTGTGTTCTACTAGGAACCCAAGGGAACAACAAAAATGAATGCAGTGACCTTCTTCACTCAAACTCTATTTGTTTTATCCAGCGCCGCGTTCGAAGTTTGTCGTACTTTTCCGCGTGATTTTAGTTTTTTATTATTTTCCCTCGTATTCTCACTTTTTAGGTAATGCTTTTAGTAATACTGATAACTATTATAAATGGTAATATTTTTTATATCTGAACTTGCCTCTCTAGCCGTTGGATATTGTCCCTGCTAATTTACTGTTTCTAGTTGCTACATCGAGTATCCGACTTGCGGTGTCCATATTACAATGCTGTTTTTTGACGTAACGTCAAATAACTTAAGACTCATATGCCTGCGGTGCGGCAACTCTGTATTAACTTTATACAAAATGCCAATAAAGTTATCGAAGCGCCGCGCTTCCTTATCGGCTGAAAACTTCAGCAAAAGATATAAGTCTAGTGAGACTGAACAGCATGGTAGTTCACCTTTCCCTGATCTAACAGAGAAGCTTAATAGTTGCAGGTCAGATATTGTTACTTCTTCATCGTATTGCGTAATAAATGATCTCACCAAGGATATGTACAGTAGTACAGGTTGTGAGCCAAGTATTATGGATACCTACCGAGCCACCAAGGTCCTGTACCAGCCCCTTTGATATGGTTGAACCCACACGACACAAATGCCCTGCTCAGAACTGTCAGTCGGAAGGTCCGAACATACATATAGCCTCCCTATCATCTGGCTGTGTCAAAAGAAATAATAACTAACCTAAATGCTTTGTAACCACAACGTCAACCTAGATAATCCTT